ATAAATAATATTGTTCAATGTCTTAATGGTGAGAAAAACATAATTTTTCTTCAAGGTTGAAGGTTCAAATCCTTGGACATTGTAAATTTGAATATAATTTGTTAAGATATATATATAGGTTAATGCAAAAAAATTAACGATATTGTTCAATGTCCTAGTGGCTAGTGGTGAGGATAACATTTTTAAAAACTTTTTCTTAAATGTTGAAGGTTCAAATCTTTGGACCTTGTAAATTTGAATATGATTTGTCAAGATAGATAGATATATATATATAGAGGTTATTGCAAAATAATTATGAACATTATTCAATATCCTAATGGTATGGGGTGCATGTTATTTTCATAGAGGTTGAGGGTTCAAATCCTTGAACCTTCAAAATTTCTTTTTCCTCATTTATTTGGTTATACAATAGAGGGTATTTCTAAATAATTAATTCTTTATTCTTTTTAAAGAATTTGGTCAAAGGACATTTAGACAAAAACTCGTTGAGGGAGGGTTGGCTATTCCAACTCATTCCCCTTTTCAAATCCGTTTGTTGAGTAGAACATTCAGATTCCGCGTTGACTATCAATAATCCAAGCCCAGTTTTTGAATTTGATCATCCAGAATATTATGTAGAATTTCGTAGGAGTTGAAGGAAGCTGATTACCTGGAAATCGGAAGATGACAAGATCGTATGATAACTGGCAGAGACTAGTCGAAGCGACGCTGAAGAGAGAAGAGCTCCGGCTGTCGCTCGTGAAGACTCGATGTCCAGCACCACGGCCTCAGACTTCTTTCGGAGTTTCCATTTGAACGAACTGTCTCTTAATTTCGAGAATATGGGAATTTCGTTTACTTACGAGCAGATTATCCAGGCGACAGGGGATTTCAGTGATGAAAACTTAATCAAGCACGGTCAATCTGGCGAACTTTGGAAGAATCGTTTTCTGTTAAAAATAGCAATGGAATTGGAGATTTGACTCGTGTTGTTGTCAAAAGATTTATCGACTGGGATGCGTGTTCGTTAGAGTTGGATTTCTTTAGCAAGATTTCTGATCGAAGATTTGTTCCTCTTTTGGGACATTGCTTGGATGAAGAAGATGAGAGTTTCTGGTTTACAGGTATATGTCAAATGCAGATTTATCTTGTTCCTTGTTTAAGAAACCCGATGACCATATTGATAGACTACCATCGCTGGATTGGATTACGAGGTCGAAAATTGCGATTGGGGTTGCAGAGGGTTTAGTATTTCTACATGATGAATGTGCTCCACCTCTTGTTCACGGGTACCCCATTACTCGATTCTCCTTATATCTCGAATGATCCTATTTAATTAATACTTTAGTTTTGATATGATTTTTCCATTCGCAGTAGTCTTAAAACTCTTAACAGCAACAAACTAAGACCACATAATTTTTTCTTTTTTCACTTCGTCCGCTTAACTTTTGGATCCTTGTCGTAAGAACAGTTTCTCTGTATTCTTAGAGATGTACAAGCCAGCAGCATATTGCTTGATGTCAATTTTGAAGTGCGGTTAGGGAGCCTAAGCCAGGTTGGTGCTCAAGAAAGAGGCATTCCTACTAGTACGTACAATTTTTCTTTGTCTGTGCACCCATGACCCAACTACCCAAATATGACAGTATTTTGGTATGAAAAGTTCTTTTTAGAGTTCCATGTTAAAAATTTGGAGAGAAATCCACCATATTTTTAGTAAACACTTCTATAAAAACCTGATCGTTAGTAACACAGATTATTTCCTTTTATAACTATTTGTAACAATATCTTTGCATTATACAGACACAAAAGTAATACTAGTTTTCTTATTTCTTCAAGTATCTATGTCTCATTTATCTTTTGTTTATGATTTCTAGCCTTATTCCCACTAAATTTGGGCTTGGATACAACAGACATGAATTCTTTTTCACTGCTTCGTTTAACTCATTTCTAGATCTTCCAGAAGATCTAAAGCTTACAAATAGATGACCGATTTTTAGGAATTTACTTCAGTTCCATGCTTTATCTTGGAATGTTATTATCTATGTAACTATGTTCGAATTTGCAAGGTACTGGTAATAAGACATGTATAGACGATGTTTATTGCTTTGGGAAGGTTTTGCTTGAGCTGGTAACAGGCAAATTGGGAGTAAGTGCATCCAGTGATGCCAATCTTGACTGATTACAAAGCACAGTCCTTCAGATCAATATATATGATAAAGAACCGGTAATAAACATTGTGGATCCATCATTAATCATAGATGAGGATCTGTTGGACGAAGTTTGGGTGGTGGCTATTGTTGCTAAATCTTGCCTCAATCCAAACCCTTCAAGGCGGCCAGTTATTCGATATGTACTTAAAGCTCTGGAAAATCCTTTAAAGGTGATAAGGCAGTGAAGGACCGGAAGAAATGCTGAGTTCCAAGATGGGAATTTGCTCTATTAACGGCCAAATCTGCAGCTTCAATGAAGAAAAGGGATCGAGGAATGATAAGTGTATTTTCTGCACTTATTCGAGGCTTGAAATTATAGGATTTTATTGTTCCTTTGGCAAAATACAACCTAAATTGCGTTATTTTGCATTTTGTAGGTGAATTTCAATGTTTGACGAAGAATTGAAGAAAATAGTGCAAAATAGCAAAAAAAAAATGGCTAAAGTGGCGAAATCCAAATTACGGGGAATAAATTGGCATTGATTTCACAATTAAGTGGACTCAAGGATTGAAAAGTAATTGGGCCACATAATGGACAAAAGGTACAAAATTGGGCTGGACTTGTTGCTGAAAGAAGAAAGGGTTTCTCCTGTTTAATTATATATACACGTGAACACAGCTTGAAACGGGGGGAGGAGCCGGCTGAAAAACAATTGGAAACGAAAAGAGAGGAGCCGAGCAGAAAATTGAGAGGAAATTAGTAGACTGCCGGCGGAAGAAAATTGAGAATTTGTGGTGACTATATTCTATCATTTGTAAACACAATTCAAGGGAGATTAGGGGGCAGCATTTGGAGGAAAATTGGAAGGATTGGCGGCTGACCTACACAATATATACACTGCCGGCACAGGAAAATCAAGGGGAGATTACACAAACATTAGTGGGCTGTCATACACTCAATTGCCGGCTGATTACACACCAGATTTTTACACAGTTTGGCTGATTAAAGGGCTGAAAATCAGCTGGTTTAGGGGCTGAAAATCGGCTGATAAAGGCAGATTAAGAGGCTGATTAAGGGGCTGATTATTGGTGGATTTGGGACTGAAAACCGGCGGATTAGGGGCTGAAAATCGAGAACAAAAGGGACGACAGTTGCTGAATAAAATTGAGAGGAAAGCATATTATTGTGGCTGATTTATTTTGTCATTGTTATACATATTTAGGGGGACATTAGTGGGTAGAACAGTAGCTGAAAATTGGCAGAGTTGGTGCTGAAAATCGGTAGATTTGGGGCTGAATTAGAAGCACCTTTGGAGAAAAAGACGAACCCACACGGCAACGCTATTTCGGCAGTTTCACGTTCCCTTAATTTTTAGGTGATATCGTTCCACTTTTGTGTGTTTAATCTTGATAATATGTTAGGCTAAATTCCCTTGTATTGGATGGATGATGAAGCTATTTGATTATTAGTTTTTATAATTCGAGACCACGTGTTTTTAATTTAATTCTTGCTTTATGATTTCATAAACATGTATGAATTTATTGTTTTAATGTTTGCGCACCATTAGGACAATTAGTTGCTTATTCGTAGTGTTGGAAAACTCACGGTAGGTAGAACACTGTTTATGAGACACACGGACAATAAATATTAGGGATAATATTTATGGCGTGTGCGGTCATGTTTGATAATCCTAAATGTCAATGCATGCTTGTCATATGAATTCGGACTAGGAATATGATCGTCTCGTGGCAATCATAGGTTTATTATATCTTGGGAAAGAATAGTAAATGAAAGTGGAATTATCGATCGTCGCAATTGCATGAATTGAGTTAATTATCACTGGTTGAGAATTGAAACTAAGAATTGATTAGTGGAGTCGGAAATCCAATACACTCATCCCTCATTTGATTTAAATCCATTTTTTTTATTGTTTTCGTAGTTATAGAACGTAGTTAAATTCAAACCAACTATCTTTTGTTACACTTGCGAATTTAAATATATCGAATACACTTAAATTAAATCTTATTCCCTGTGGGACAATAACTCACTCATCACAATTATTACTTGTACAACGAACTCGTACGCTTGCGAGATTTTCGCCCAACAAGGAACTAGTTTTATTGGGTTTACAAAATCTCTCAAGTACCTTGTCAGTAATTGGTGAATTAGGAAGGATTCCTTCTTACTGAATAACAAGTTGCGCGTCAATTTTCATGATGGTCATTTTTCTATCCTTTTTTGATGGTTTTAACTATTTGCATTTTGTAATTGTAAAAGTAATATATGAGCTTGCAGCATATTTCTCGATGGATATAGCATTTATTACATACTAGTTGCTAAAATTAAAGCTCGTTTAAGGAAAATAAGGCCATTTACACTAAACTAACCAAAATATTGAAATGGCATTCTCAAGCCTTAAAGCTAAACTTGGCATTAACTTATACCTTCGAACAAAATCAGGAGCAGCAAACAAATTGAAGATCTACTACATTTCTTTAAAAGTTGAAAACCATGCACGAAAAGAACGCAACAAATGTACTACACCAACTACAAAATCAAGAGCTTGTTTGGGAGAGATTTTTGGGGGAAAAATTGATTTTGAATAGTGATATGATGGGAAATGTGTGGTTGAAAAAAAAGAACAAATTATTGATGTGATGGAAAATATTATTTTATTGAAGAATGTGTGATTCAAAATGAGAATTAATTTACTGTATAAAAATTTAATCCCTCCCAAACAGGGCCCAAATATGAATTGTCTCGTTCGTAAGTGTAATTAAAATTTTAATAGCGAACAATTTAAAAGAAGAAATATAATACATTTGTCAACATTTATAATAAATTGCGACAAGCATGTGCATTGGTATTGCAAACGAATATATTAACTATACTCTCAAATAAAAATCAGGACCATAATTTGGGACAGATAAAAAAGAAAAACAAGAATATTTTTATGGCATGAAGGGAGTAATACATTTTGTAAAAATTATTTTTTAAAATGTGATTAAAAATTAAGGAATTATTGTATATCGGCTTTTTAATTTGAACCATGCTATGTGTACACAATGGTGCACACACGACTTTATACCCCCCTCACATGGAGGGGGGACCCACACACAATAAAATGAATTTTGCTACACAAATATAATACTTGAAATAGGGAATGACACAGCACAAACACATGGGGAGGCCGGCATTATTTAATTTAGGTCGGGACCTACATGCAATGTGAGTGATCGGTCAACCCCTATGTCAAGTATTATGTTCATTTAGCTTAATTCCAATAAAATATTCGTGGGCCCCTCTCCATGTGAGAGTGGTGTAAAGTTGTGTGTACACTATGAGGTGTACACATAGCATTTTTCTTTTAATTTTAGACCTCTAATTCAAAGCCATTAATACTATATTATCCTTCAAGCCTTTAGTCTTTCCAAAGTAAGAAATTTGATCTCCAAACTTTGCATCCAATAGTCAATTTAGCCCCTATATTTTGGATTTTGCAATTTTTTTCGTGATTTTGTATTCTTTTCTCCAATTCTTTATTAGATCACTTTAATTAGACTCAATTTTAAAATAGCCGCATATACAATTAATTACATATGTAGGACCACATGACAAATTAATAAACCCAGCATATGGATTTGGTTATACACCAAATTATGAGGAAGACCCTGATTTCATTCATTTCGAGGTTGACATGGCTACCGAGGAAGATGATGTGTTGTACAACTGCAATGTGACATATGTCATCGAAATTCGATTAGGCATGAATGAAGCGGTAGATAAAGGAGTAGTGATGCTCGTAGGGGAGGTGGAAGACGATGGATTGGAGTATCCATCCTCTAAGGAGTTATTATAATTAAGTTGCAGGCATAGTGCATTTGTTCCGTTTTATAACGACAGGTTTGATGTGATTGTGTTGTAATTCAGGTTGATGCCATGTTAACCGGGGAAAAAATGATGTTGGTTTAGACGATGATGCTTTTGTTCTCATTATAGTATGTTTGAAAGTCAGATTCCTTTTCGTGTCCGGCCGTTTGGAGCTAGAATTTGATGTGCAGTTCAAGTTGTGGTGTGGGAGAAAATTCTTGAGGGCCTTAGATTTGTGTACATTAAAATATGTTGATGGATTGGAGTACTTGATCAGGTTTTTGGCATTTCGAAATGCTATTCATATGACTAGTGTGAGTTATAGTTCATGTTTATGGTAGTTCGAAGTGCTGTTCATATGAAGAATTGCACTGGTTTTTCTAGTAAAGTTTTGGATTGCGACCTCAACTTTGCTGTCGATCTCTCTAAGTATCAGTTCACGTCGAAGAGTTGAATATGGTGTTTTTTGCTGCTAATTTTGCCTTCTTGTTTCTAGTTTTGCAATTTTGTAATTAAAGCTAAACATATTCCATAAAACGGCCACAACATTTTCAAATGTCAAAGTTTTATTACAACCAAAGTCAATTACTAAAATGAATGGCAATCAACATACAACAAACATAATATAAGAAAACTTTAGTGCCGATTACATAATCATGGAGTTCGACAAATACTACAATAGTCTTTAACCCGGTCACGTAGTTGGAACAAATTCACGGAACTTTTCCCTTTTCTTTCCTATTATCCTTCGTAGCACCGTGCAGATAGTTATGTTGGTAGATATCTCCACGTCTTCTAAGTTATTTGAGTAACTCCCTTCAACATACACGGCAAATCTTCCATCAGATCTTTATCGTTACATTTACCACTAGACTGTAATTAGGCTCCAAACAGTCAACATAGACAATTTGGAATTAACATGAAGAAGAGTAGATAACATCCATGGTTGCCGAGGTAAGTATTCTTGAACAAAAGCATCAAAATTTAAATAGAGTAAAAAATGGGAAATTGCATTACATACACCTCAGCCATTGAAGAATATGCTACTTTGCAGCCTTGTCATTCCTATAAAATAAGTCGTAATAGACACCCGCATAGGAAATATGACCGTGACTTTGGAAACTTGAAGAGAATCAATTTTCCCACATTGATTTCTAGGGTTCCTACGGGAGGTTCCGGTGAGACTAAATTGGAAAAGAATAATATTATTTATCATTATGATGATGAAATATCGATAATGTGACAGTTTATGTTAAATAATGAAATTGAACAGTTCAATTTTTATTAGAGAGAGGAGACGAGAGAGGGAAATATGAGAGATAATCAGTTGTCACATCACCTATTCTATCATCATAATGATAACATTACTCATTT